GTTATGCCAATTGAGCTTTATGTCCCATGCGTATGTCACCACATTTTAAATACCAGTAGGATGATATTCAAATACAATCTTGGACAGGATTCAGTGGAGCTTTCAGACTAAGACAGACTAGGAAAAAAGATCTAGTAAAATACTTCCAAAAATAAGCCATTGAAAATCCTATAGATCACAGTAATACCATCTGATAATGCTGGAAGATGAACCCTCTACATTTGAGGGCACTCACAATCCACAGTGGCCACAAAAGTAGACTCAAACTTATCAGCAATCATGAAGATGGCACAAAACCAGGCAGTTTCATTCATTCTGTTTTCAATGCGGTCACCATCAATAGCAGTCAATTCAATGGCAACTAACAACAACTACAACAACAACAGTCTCATTATTATTCCTGTTCCTGAATGAACAGGTAGATACACATAGCAGAATTTGGCCGAAGATGAAAACAAAAATGTTTTCCCTTCAAAATCACCTTGTCTTAGTGTTCCTGGTTCATTCAAACCCTGATTTTGAAGGACTTCTGATGTTGTTGTTGTTATGTGCTGTTGAGTCATCTTCAACTCACAGCAACCTTATGTACAATGAACAAAACACTGCCCTGTCCTGTGCAAGCCTCATGATTCCTATTACACCTGAGCCCATCACTGCAGCCACCGTGTCAGTCCATCTTGTTGAGGGCCTTCCCCTTTTCGTTGATCCTCCACTTTACCAAGCATGATATCCTTCTCTAGGGACTGGTCCCTTCTGACAACATGACCAAAGTAGGTGAGATGAAGTCTGGCCATTTTCATTTCCAAGGAGCATTCTGACTGAACTTCTTCCAGGACAGATTATTAGCTCTTTTAGCACTTCACAGTACTTTCAACATTCTTCACCAACACCACAACTCAAAAGCATCAACTCTTCTTCGGTCTTCCTTATTCATTGTCCAGCTCTCACATGCATATGAGGTGATAGAAGATAACATGGGCTGGGTTAGGCACAACTTAGTCTTCAAGGAGACATCTTTGTTCTTCATCACTTGAAAGAGGTCTTTTGCAGCAGATTTGCCCAATGCAATATGTCATCTGATGTCTTGACTGCTGCTTCTATTGGCATTGATTGTAGAACCAAGTAATATGAAGTCTTTGACAACTTCAATCTTTTGTCCATTTCCTGTGATATTAACCAGTACTAAGATAATTCTAGCTGAAGGTTCAGAACTGACCAACTGAGCCTAACCACACATATTAAAAAGCAATAATTGAGTTACTCTGATAATACAGAATTGGAAGATTTTAACAGGATGGATTAAGTTAAAATTTTATCAGTTCTTTCTTTTGTCAATGTTAAAATTTGCATCTTTATAATCCTCATATTGCAGCAATTATTGCTAAAGTCTTATAAATAGCCGGGTGCCCACTTGGGAAAAATTATGCCGAGGTAAAGAAATGATTCCGGCTTTACTCTCTTTTGTATTTTATCATGCGTACAACTCTTTGGAGAGTGTAGGGGAAAAAAAATTGCACTTGGAATGATCCTAATTTTGTGGGTACTTTCAAAATATGATTTAGTTAAACTATTTAAAAATTCATATAAATTACAAAGAAATAATGAAGGATTCTATTGGCTAAGTACTGAATGACACAGGAAGCATCAAAAGAAGATGAAAGGAATATACAGAGTCACAGTACTAAAAAGAATTGTCAATGTTCAACCAGTTCAGGATATAGCATATGATCAAGAACTGACAGTATTGAAGGAAAAAGTCCAAGCTGCACTGAGGGTATTGGTGAAACACAAGGCTCCAGGAATTGACAGAATACCAATTGAGACATTTCTACAGGTGGATACAACATTGGAGCATTCATTAATCTATGTCAAGAAACGTGGAAGGCCAACTGACTGGAAGAGATCCATATTTGTGCCCATTCCAAAGAATGAAGAAATTATAGAACAATATCATTAATATGACACACAAGTAAAATTTTGCTGAAGATAATTCAAAAGTGGTTGCAGCAGTACATACACAGGGAACTGTCAGAAATTCAAACTGGATTCAAAAGAGGACGGGGAATGAGAGACATCATTGTCAGATGGATCTTTGCTAAAAGCAGAGAATATCAGAAAGACATTTATCTGCATTGTATTGACTATGACAAGGCCTTCAACTATGAAAATCATAACAATTATGGCTAAATTTATAAAAAATGGGAATTTGAGAATACTTAATTGTGCTCATGAGGATGTGTACATATACTAAAAGGCAGTCATTCAAACAGAACAAGGGGATCAGGACAAGTGTACTTCAAGGTTGTATCCTTTTACCATACTTATTCATGTGTACACTAAGCAAATAATCTGAGAAGCTGGACTATGTGAAGAAAAATGCAGCATCAGGATTGGAGGATTATTTATTAACAACCTATGATATGCAGATGATAACAACATGGGTTACTGAAAGTGAAGAGAACTTGAAGCACTTACTGATGAAGATCAAAGACTACAGCCTTCAGTATGGGTTAGATTTCAACATAACAAAATTTCTCACAACTGGATCTGTAAACAATATCATGATAAACAGAGAAAAGATTGAAATTGTCAAAAATTTAATTTTACTTGGATCTACAATCAAAACCCATAGAAACAGCAGTCAAATCAATGTTTTGCATAGGGCAAATCTGCAGCAAAAGACCCTCTTAAAGTGTTAAAAATCAAAGACGTCACTTTAAGGACCAAGGTGAGCCTGTTCCAAGTCATTGTCTTCTCATTAGCTTCATTTGCATGCAGACTCTGGACAATGAATAAGGAAGAATGAAGAAGAATTGATGCATTTGAATTGTAGTGTTGGTGAAGAATACTGAATATACCACAGACTGCCAGAAGAATAAACCAATCTGTTTTGGAAGAAGTACAGCCAGAATGCTCCTTAGAAATGAGGACAGTGAGACTTTAGACATCTTATCAGGAGGGTCTACTCACTGGAGAAGGACATCATGCTTGGTAAAGTAGAGAGTTAGTGAAAAAGAGGAAGACCCTTAATGAGATGGATTGACACAGTGATTGCAATGATGGGCTCAAACATAGCAATAATTGTGAGGATGGTGCAGGACCAGGCAGTGTTTCACTTTGTTATGCATAGGGTCACCAGGAATTGGAACTGACTCGAAGCCACCTAACAACAACACAACAATTCTAAATTGAATCATAACCCCAAAAGAAATGTGCCTTTAGGACATTATACATTCTAGATAATTGCCAATATACTTCCAGTCTCATAAGACAGAATAATAAAAGGAAAAAGTAAAGGGGAAAATAAAAAATAAAAGGCAAACCTCATTCTAGTTGATTATTTTAATTTAATCATAGAGTAGAAAAAATAACATTCTGTTATACTTCAACATTTAAAATCTGGCCACTTTTAAAAATTTGCAAAATAATTTTTAATATTAGGAAGGCATAATTTGCCAATTAGATTAATATGTTTATTAGCCTATTTGAAAAAGGGAAAATTGTGTTATTGCTGGGAACAGACACAACATAAATTTCTGGAAGGCAGACATTGTGCCTTTCATCTTCTAAATATATAGTCCTTGGACTATAGTAGGAGCTCTGGTGGTGTAGTACCTAAGGCATTTGACTGCTAAGCAGAAGGCTGGCAGTTCAAACCCATCAGCCACTCCTCAGAAGGAAGGTTGGGCAATTTACTTCCATAGTGATGATACTGCCTCGGAAACTAAAGAAGGGGTAGCCATAGGTTGGATCCAACTCAACGGTGGTGGGATGGAATATAATACCCACTGTCATCAAATCAATTCTGACTCATAGTGACTCTATAGGACAGAGCAGAAGAAATGCCTCATAGAGTTTTCAAGGTTGTAAGTTTTTATGGGAGCAAACAGCCTCATCTTTCTCCCATGGAGCGACTGGTGGGTTTGAATAGCTGGCCTTTTGGTTAGCAGCAAAATTCTTTAACCACTATGCTACCAGAACTCCTAGGACTTTGACATATTTATTAAGAGAATGAATGAAAATGAAGAGACTTGGGAGCAAAACAAGCTAGGGTATGTAGTTTTTCTTGGACCACAAGTCAAATAGCAATAGACAACTTCAGATTCTTGGCCATCTATCTTTTCCCCCAAGAATTGAGTAGCTGAAGTAATAGACAATCCCATTTCTTTTCCAAAGAGTTATATTGAATGGACACATGCTAAGAATCCGAAGGTGGACAAAGAGATTTGTCCATTAAAGCACTCTCCAGTACCTAAGTGAAAATGAAAGGAGTTGTGGACTAAGGTAACCTGAACATTCCTTTAGCTGGCAAATATAGGGCCTATATAGATACTTCTTCATACAATGAGACATGTATCAATGAAAAAAAATCCTGCCCACTCTGAAAATGGCTTATTTCAAACACAGAAGAAAATGCTAGAAAATATCTCAATAAGATACACCATGACAAGTTTATACATCCAGAAATGTCAGTAGATCAGGAATTGAAGAAACAGGCTGATAGCATCAATGTATCAAACCATCCTAAAGTTGTGGCCAGAGCCAAAGATCAGGGAAAAGTGTGGAATATTACCAACATACCGGGACCATGAAGGACTGGGTCTTAAAAGGCTGGGTTGCATCAAGCCAAAACTGGAAGGCAGCATACAGAAAGTGTAACTATGGCAAAGTTGGAGGCAACATGGAAGAGCTATGGAGTGAAAAGCAAAGGACAGGAGCCAAAAGTCCTGAGTCTAGAAGTTTATAAGCATGAACCAAAAAATCTTTTCATTAGTATTTAAGGAATGGCTCCCTGAGATGGTTTGGAAGGTTGTTATTCAATCGCTCTAGAGCTCACTAGTCACTACTGGAATAGACTTGAACATTTCATTAAATCATTATCTCTCTTTTACATGATATATTTCTAAGGAGTAGAAACAATGAAGCAGAACAAAAAACAAAGCAATTGAATTCTGTCTCACCCACACTTGCTGAACACCAGGAAAGGTGAAAGTACTCACGTTCCACAAAGTATGAACTGGCATCGATCTTCCAGATGATCTGGCCCCGATGAGAACCATTGACTCCACGGTTCTTATAATCCAGAAAGTTTTCAGACAAAACCTCATCTACATCCCCAGAGGAAGAAAGCAGAGGAGAGAAACTTATCAGTCAATTGCATGTTTTCTTATTTCAAAAAAGAAAAAGAACAAATGATAATGCCACTTGAGCTTAACAGCAGAACAAAGCACCTGGACATAGCTTCTTCACACACCATCTAGACCAACCACATTTTAGTGCAGGAATCTCCTCTCCACCCTGCAACACCCCCAGCAGGTGACCATCTAGTGTGTCCTGGAGCACCTTCAGAAGCAGAAATAGTTACCTTCATAGCAATTAATTTCACTTTTGAATAGCTTTTCTAAACTCAAGACCAAACCTGATGCTGTCATGTCAATTTCAACTTATGGCAAATCCATTGCTACATGGTGTTTTCTTGCTTTAAAGAAGATTGCCAACCTTTCTTCTGCAATACTGCTGGAAGGATCTGAACTGCCAACCTTTAGGTTAGCAGTTAAGTGCAAATCATTTGTGTCAGTGCTTATGTACTTGAAATCTCAGCATTCAAATCTTTCTCCTAAACCTTCCATTAAGTGATCTCCATTCAGAATTTGGTAGTTCAAACCCACCAGCCACTCTTTGGAAGGAAGATTAGGCAATCTCCTTCCATAGATTCCTGCCTTGGAAACCCAAGGAGAGGTCTCTATGAGTCAGATCCGACTAGACTGCAGTGAGGTTGATTTGTTTTGGTATTCAGAATTGAGTACAAGGCATAAAGAAAACATCCAATCATGCTTTTCTATTTGAGAACAATTCTCATGGACCCTATGGGAGACAATATAGATATTGTCTCTTCTCCAGCCTGGACAGTCTCTTTCATTATCATCTTATGTATGAGACTCATTCATGTCCTCATTGACTCATGCATTCATCTGTTCATTCAACAGATGTATAAAGAGATCCCATTCTCTGCCAGATGCTGAGGAAGATGTAAGACATCATGTTGGGCAAAATCCATATGGTCACTTCTTAACTAAAGCTTACAGACTACTGAGAAGACAGACATAAAACAGTAAACAACAAAACGTACATGAATTATAAATTGTAATAAAGGATATGAAGGAAAATAACAGGTTCTCTCACAGGGTGCTAGGGGAGCACCAAGGGATGAAAGAAGCATAGGGGTGGAGGACAAGGGTAGGTGTGTGGAGGATGGGATAGGCACACAGATGTAGTGTTCAAGGCCCAAAGCCCATAGAGCCTGCTTGTTGGAGGCACCAAAGGAAGTTACTGGATGAACGTGCACTCCTCCCTTTCCTGCTGTTTCTCTGCTCATTACAATTCAACCCATAAATGGTGCTGGTGCTGGTGCTGGAATGGACTATAGCTTTCTTGTAAAGGAAAGATTCATGAAGACCCAGCTGGCAGTCACCTCCTTGGTCCCAGACATGATGCTTTCAGTGCAGACTAAGAAAAGTATATAATTATAACTCCATCTTCTATGGGACCTGCATGAGTTTCCTAGGATTTTAGTAACAAAATATCAGAAGATGGGTGGTTATTAAGAACAGAAATTTATTGTCTCACAGTTCTAGAGCCTGGGAGTATGAGATAAGTGTGTCAGCAATGTTGATTCCTTCTGAGGCTTTGAAGGAGGATCTGTTCCATATCTCTCTTCCAGCTTCTGGTAGCTCCAGGTGTTCCTTGGTTTGCAGCTACAGCATAACATGAGTCCTTCTAGTCTCCCAGTCTCTATCTCTTTCATTTTTATAGGTCACACTCAGATTGAATTAGAATTCACTCTATTCCAGTATGGTCTCATGTTAACCTCACTGATATCTTCAAAAACTCTATTTCCAAACAGTCACATTCACATTTAGAAGGGTTAAGATTACAGCATTTCTTTTGTGGAAACACAATTCAATCCATTACAGGGCCCTTGCATTTTTCCATTTACCAGAAAGTAATCATCTGAGCTAGACAAAACTAGGGCTGTAGAGTAAACTATGTTTTGAGCATCCAAATCCACTTCAGGGGCTGAGAGACAATCAGTCACAAGGTTCCTGAGGCCCAGAGGGGACAGGTCATGGTTGCAGTGAGGGGATAAACTATGGCTGTCCTTTTCACCACTAAGACACTCTAAGGTTCACATGCTATGTAAGGCTGGACTGAAGAAGCAGGCAAAGAGGGCTGGATTCTCAAGGCCTTTTTGTACCACTTACCAACTATGTCATTTGTATAGCCTCAGATTCCTGCAAAGTAGGGAGCAACAATAGCTCTGACTTCAAAGGGGAGGATTAAATGAGATAATTGGTAAATATGTTTGTAACCTGCTATGTTGATTGTAGGAGCTCTGGTGGTGCAGGGGCTAAGGCATTTGGCTGCTAACCAAAAGATTGGCAGTTCAAACCCACCAGCTGCTCCATGGGAGAAAGATGAGGCAGTCTTCTTCCATAAAGATTGACAGCCTTGGAAACCACATGGGGAAGTTCAACTCTGTCCTATAGGGTCACTATGAGTTGGAATTGTCTTGATGGTTATGGATTTATGTTGATTGTACATTCCTGGCAGTTCCTTTTGTGGTGAGATGATTGGGCAAAGCAACATCATCTCTGCCTCATTAATGGTAAGAATTGTTTGTATCCCTTGGAAAATCACTTGTTTGCAAAATTTGCCTGACTTTATATTCACAGTGGGTGTGCACAGCCCTGTTTGGGTTACTAAGATGATTGCATAATATGTCTTTTACAGTAATTGCCTCATTTCTGCAGAAAGGCATAATATTTTCCTAGCTCCCTGGGTCTTCAGTTCAGATATAACCAATCTCATGCTCATACAGAAATTTGCCTCAGTATAGAAATTCTCCAAGGGGTGGTGTTTGCCAGAATTTATCCACTCTGATTACCAGAATATTACTTTAATAGTCACAGCCAGGTACCCATATAGTACCTAGAAGGAGGATGTTCATTCATTACCAGATAAATATATATTAAGCACTTTATCCATTCCAAGCATTGTTCTAAACCCCAGGGATACACTGGTGAACAAGACTTGCTTTATGCTCTTAGGAAACTCCTAATCTATTTGTTGTTGTTAGCTGCTATTGAGTCAGCCACTGATACATGGACAGCCCATATACAAGGGAATAAAATGCTACTTAGTGCTGCATCATCCCCATGGACTGTTTGCAGATTGAACCAGACTCTTGTTCTCCATAGAGATTTCATTGGTTGAATTTTGGAAGTAGATATCTAGGCCTTTTTTCCTAATTTGCTTTAGTCTGGAAGCTCTGCTTAAACCTGTTCAGCATCATAATGATATGGAAGCCTCCAAGGACAGAAGATGATGGCTGATCATGAGGTGCATCAACTGGAAATCGAATCTGAGTCTCCTTCATGGAAAGAGAGAATGTTACCACTGAACTACCAATTCCCTCATTAAGAATCAATGGTAACAAAAAAGTAAGAGTATGAGTCCAGGGCAATGTTTCTCAACCTAGGTACTATTGATATCTTGGCCTGGATAATTCTTCACTGTGAAGCAGCTGTCTTGTGCACTGCAGGATGTTTAGTGGCATCTGTGACTTCTACCCACTAAATGCTACTAGCACACCTTGCCCAGTTGTGACAACGAAAATGGTCTCCAGAAATTTCCAAATGTGTCCAGAGTGGGGAGAAAATCAGCCTCTGTTGGGAGCCATTGATTAAAAGCAATAAGGACAGTAAGAGAATTCATAACTTTTAAATAAACAGACATATCTAATAGAAGCAGGAAAGAAAAAAAAATACAGTAAATAAATAATATGAAATAAGATGGGAGAAAAATAGGTTCTAATATAACATTAAGTGCAATAAATTTAAATGTGCTATACTAGCCAATTAAAAGTCAGAGATTTTCAGATTAGAATAGAGCATCACACCTAACAGTCACACTTTAAACAGGAGGAGATAGAAAAGATTGAAAATAAAGGAAGAAAAAAAAAAAAAAGATATGCTAAGCAAAAATGAAGCAAAACTGGAGCATCACTCTTACAGTTAATAAAATGGAATTCAAGACAAAGAATATCATAAAGGACACAAATCTGAAAAATGAACCATAAAGAAGATACAAACATCATGAACATTTTTGCATGTAGAAATGTAGTCTCAACATATACAAAGTACATGATTTACAGAAGTGAATGTAGAAATTGATGAATTTTTTTTGCAAGTAATTTAAACTAATCTATTAAGAAAATAGAAGGACAACGAGATAAGCAAATAAGAACATATGTGAATATTATCACTAACAAGATTAAACTATTATATATAACACTACCACCATTTGTTTGTCAGTTTGTTGTTGCTTGTTTGTTGCTATGAGACTGACTGTAGGCTATGCTATAGGTATTTAAATATCTGCAGGGTTACCCATGGAGGACAGATTTCAGAGGAGTTTCCAGACTAAGATAGACTGGGAAGAAGGATGGAGTCATCCACTTTTGAAAAAATTGACCACTGAAAACCTTATGAATAGGAGTGAAACACAGTCTGATATAATCCTGGAAAACTTTATGAATAGCCCTAAAACACTGTCTGATATAATGCAGGAAGATGAGTCCCTCAGTTTGGAAGGCACTCAAACCACAACTGGGAAAGAGTTGCCTCTTCAAAGGATATTCGACCATAGCGATATGGATGGAGTGAAACTTTCAGGACCTCCATTTTCTGACAGGCCATGACTCAAAATGGGAAGAAACAGTTGCAAGCATCCATTAATAATCAGAACTTGGAAGGTATGAAGTATGAATCTAGGAAAATTGGAAGTTGTCAAAAATGAAATGGAATGCATAAAAATCAGTATCCTAGGCAATAGTAGGGAGCTCTGGTAGCATAGTGGCTAAGGCACTTGACTGCTAACCAGAAGGCTGGTGGATCAAATCCACCAGCCACTCCTCGGAAGGAAGATGGGGCAATCTACTTCCATAGTGATACTGCCTCGGAAACCCAGGGAGGGGTCGCTATGAGTCGGGTCTGACTCACCGGCACATAACAACAACAACAACAACAGGCAATAGTAAGCTGGAATT